GTAACCTATTTGTATAGTTGTATATATATATATATATATATACATGACATTTGTTTGTATATAAAACGTGACATCGATTTACCGAGCCATAGAGAACAAGTCTAATCACGTGGGTATCAGCTGTATCTGTTCTACTTAAATCTACGGGGGACAACATTATGGTTTACTGCTGGAATATACGGAGGACAACATTACGGTTTACTGCTGAAATCCACGGCGGACAACATTACGGTTTACTGCTGGAACATACGGTGGACAACATTACGGTAGACAGTTGAAACGCACGGGGGACAACACTACGGTAGAGAGCTTAAATATACGAGGGACAACATTACGACAGACAGTTGAAACGCATGGGGGACAGCATTACGGTTGACTATTGAAATCTACAGGGACAGCATTACTGTAGATTGATGAACCCACAGGATTTCTGTAAACTGCTGAAGCCGACAGGGACAAGATTATTGGGGGTTGCTAATGTTTAACTAATCTGCTTCACATTGCCATTCATCTACTGCTTGTTTTCTATAAGTCATTAGCAGTGTTAAGTACCATGTTTAAATCATTAACAAGATTACTCCACGTTTTGCATGACATCATAATGCTTAAGTTACTCTTGCTTCACCACTGTTAAACATATTATTATATGTACTTTTTGGACTCTGTAGACTGGTTAGACTCGTCAAGTAAGGTTTATTCAACAATACTTTGTAAACTGGTTAGACTCGTCAAGAAGGTTTAGTCAACAATACTTTGTAAACTGGTTAGACTCGTCAAGTAAGGTTTAGTCAACAATACTTTGTAAACTGGTTAGACTCGTCAGGTAAGGTTTAATCAACAATGCTTTATAAACTGGTTAGGCTCGTCAAGTAAGGTTTAGTCAACAATACTTTGTAAACTGGTTAGACTCGTCAAGTAAGGTTTAATCAACAATGCTTTATAAATTGGTTAGGCTCGTCAAGTAAGGTTTAATCAACAATGCTTTATAAACTGGTTAGACTCGTCAAGTAAGGTTTAATCAACAATATTTTGTAAACTGGTTATACTCGTGAAGTAAGATTTAATCAACAATACTTTGTAAACTGGTTAGACTCGTCAAGTAAGATTTAATCAACAATACTTTGTAAACTGTTTATACTCGTCAAGTAAGGTTTAATCAACAGTACTTTGTAAACTGGTTAGACTCGTCAAGTAAGATTTAATCAATACTTTGTAAACTGGTTAGACTCGTCATTTAAGCAATTCTTGTTTAAATGGTTATGTATTTCACCTTTGAATCATGCATTAAAACAAGCATTTTATTGCAGCATTAAAATCTACAGAAGCCGTAAGACTGTAAATAGGAGAAAGGGGGAAAGTCTTTATTTTCCCCTACTTTCTGTTTTCTAACTTCTTAAGAAAGGCAGTAAGTGGTTCAAGTACCTATATCACATTACCGTACGAACCGAACAATTCATTAGACTGGGCTATACAGTGTAGTTGCACGAGTAAAACCTTTGTACATCAGGTAAGTATCTTCTACAGGTGCATACATGGAAGTCATAACTGCGTGTAGAACCAAGGAAATGTACCATGCATTATAATTAATATAGAAGAACAAACAAAACATAAAAACCATAGAGACTACTAAGCCTGTCGTGTTGATCTGAGGTTTAAGCACAAAGCTATATAACGAGCTCTCAGTGATCTGCCCACTGCGGATATCGAAACTCAATTTTTAGCGCTAATGTGTTGTAAAGGGGACATCACAATATAATCAAAGATAGGATGTGCCATATGCAAGAACAGGAAAGTCCCAGTACATAAGTCGCATCATAAGAAGTTGCACTTTCTTATTTTTGTTTATGGTGATTGTAATTTGAAAGAAACACCTGAAACCTAATTTTAGTAAAATTGGATAAAACGGAATTATATTAGTCTATAAACGATTACATAAAGTGCTTAGCGCCACCACATAGTGAAAGATTAATAACTGTATTATGGTAAGTATGGATACATATGTTAATTAAGAATATTTATTTTAAACCAGGTGCACATTTGAAAAAAATAAAAATCTACAATATTATACGAAAAAATAAATAAAACAAGAAAGAAAGAAATAGCGATTAAAATGAAAATCAATGAATTTTAATTCTTATACTTTCAGTTTCACGTGTATATTTGCCATTTCTGTGTCCTGTGTAACTTGGTTGCACTGTTAACAATTAGAAGTGTTATCCGACAACACGACTCACGTTAAGCACTAAACCTAAATATGTCATTACCGGTCGAGAAGTACAAGACTTGGCATGACCTGGTGGCTTGTGTGCTCAACTTGCAATCTGCGGGTCACGGGATCGAAACCCGCCGAAGAACGTGCTGGTTCTTTATGTCGTGAGTTCACTATTCGCCGGTAAAGAGTAGCCCAAGAGTTGTCGATGGGTATTGTTGACTAGCTGTCTTCCCTTTAGTCTATCATTTCAAACTTGTTCCCCAGTGTGACAGTGGTAAGCTTACGGACTGAGAACGCTAAAATCCGGGGTTCTTAGGGTGTGGAGTGGCCCTGTGATAGAGCTCTGAATTTCCACGAGGGCGAGCCAGGCTCGAATCTGTACACACACACACACACATAAAATTCTCCACACAATCATTTGTGGATATGTTATTAGAGTGACGGTCAATCACATAGCGTAGATGGTGGATGGTAGTGAGCTGGTCAATAGTTCAAAATTAGGGATGACGGTAGATGGCCTTCTTGTACAAAAAAAATATAAAAAAAAAGATATTGTTAGGGAAGTACAAAAAGGTGCAAATTTGACAGGAAAAACATTTGTACTTCCTTATTAAACGGTATAGTCCTTCTCTTTTTCTTTTTTGCGCACGATTATTTTTCCATATAAATTTGGTATCCCTCGATGTAGTTATTCATCACTGATTTTGTAGTTCTTGGATATTCATATATATATTTTTAATGCAAACACGATAAATTAATTGTATTCACATATATATAAATATTGTTGTAGTGATTTCTACTGTTGCATTATATTGTTCGGTAAAACTAACAATGCAAAGTCCACTTTATGATAAAGAAAGTGTTATATTTCTTTGATTACAAGTTCCACAAGTATCACGTACTAGCTTATCGTACACTAAGCGAATGGATTAGTTTCACAATTATTGTTGAACAATCACTAACTTGTTAATATTCTCTCGTATCTTCGTCGAAACACAAACCCAATATTCACAAAATTGTACTAATCAACTAACAATCCGACAGTAACGAACAAATTCACTAATTCCATAACAAATATTTATATACTCGGGCCTAACTAGCGTTTTATAAAGGTCAAATCATTCGGTAACGTCCAAGATCTAGAAGGTTCTGATTATTAAGCCACGCGCAATATGTGTCGTTATACCCTCCCCTCCCCGGCCAAACAGTAATACTGATGTTAAAAATTCAATAACAAATAATTATATATTCCGGCCTAACTAGCGTTTTAGAAAGGTAAATAATTTCTTTAACGTCCACGATCTAGAAGGTTCTAATTATTAAGCCACGCGCATCACGTGTCATTATACCCCCCGACCAAACAGTGATACTGATATTTAATTTTAAAATGCTTCTTTTTTGTTTGTTTGTTTGTTATTAAGGGCAATACTAAATAATGGGATCTATGCTCTGCTCACCGCTGGAATCAAAACCCGATATTTAAAGTTACCTTGTCATACAACCAAATTATTTTTGCGGGTTTATCGAAATAACTGTAGTCCAAACTGTTAGTTTATGGTATAAGTATTTATATAAAAAAAAAAGAGACATAGTATTGTTTGGTAAAAATATAAACTGGGATTATTTAGGACTATCGTCTGTACTAGAGAGCGACTTTCGTCTGTGCTGAGGAGTGGGTTAGGAACAGTGATCTCAGCCATATTGTTGACTAAGATTAATTTTTTTTCAATTTTCGCACAAAGCCACTCAACCTCGCATAGTCGTCCTTAAATTTTGAACTGATAGGTTAGAGGGAAAGCAGCTGGTCAGTAGCATCCAATTCTAGCTCTTGGGTCACTCATTTCTAATAAAAAAATGGGATTTAACAGTCGCTGCTATAGCGCACCCAAATTGAGCAGTGTGTCTTTACGGTAAAGAACCACAAACCATATTCAGATTCACACTCTTTACGGGCTTCAATTCAGGCTCTGTCTAGATTAGTGACAAATATAAACACACAATATTTAGACTCTTATTTTTAATCTACTAATCATACACATAATACTGACATATCCTTCTGGTGACACGTATATGTACTACGATTCGTTTTTAGTTATATTTACGCGATAACTACGTAAATATTTCATCATCTTAGACTTATTTTGTCTTTGTTTTACAGACTGTTCCTCAGCTGTTGTACCAACAATTGCAGTGCAAAGACGGAAGTTTTAAGTGCAGGTTGTGCTGACACAAAATCTCAAGTTCTAAATGGTTTGCTGCCAATATCTGATTCGAGTAAGTTCATTATTTTGGTGTTCTTCTATTCTGAGTATCTTTAATACGTATTAGTACATTTTTGTCTCTATGTATTAGTTTAGTAACGGTACAAAATTTATACTAAAATACATTTGAAAAGATGGAAAAATACCAGTTTAACAACAATGTTACAACAAGGTGAATAATTACTGTTAAATTCTGATCACAGCAAGTTACGTATTTAGAGCGAAACTAAAAATCAAGCCGGTAATCAGTATGGTGAATTAAATATAGTGTTCTCACGTTCTTACTTATACATATTAAAATGCATTGTTTCATCAGTTGGGTAACCTCGCTGTTAACGACGTTTTCGGTCGTAAACCTAATAATAGCTCAAGAACTTATACATATTAAAATGCTTTGTTTCATCAGTTGGGTAACCTCGCTGTTAACGACGTTTTCGGTCGTAAACCTAATAATAGCTCAAGAACCTAAGCCTAGTTAGGAAATTTAGTTTAGTCTTAAATACGTATATTAAGTTATCAATGCAAAACAATCTCTGTAATAAAAGTATAACAATAGGAATAACAATTAAAAAAAGAGTAAAATGTTACATTGCTGTTCAGAACAAATCATAATTATTTCACGTGGCTAATATATTATTCTGTCTAGATCCGATACGAATCAAGACCCAGTTCTATGTCGAAGATGTGAACTCCATAAACGCACTCGACATGGTGAGTTCTTTGATATAATATGAGGAGAGACATGGGGATCATCAAGATATAATCTTCCTAGAAATTTCAAAACAAACCAAGTCACTCATATCTGGTTGATATCTATTACAATGACGATTGTAGCGAGCTATCTTTTATTTGATAGTGAACTCGATAATTTAATCTATTTCTCGTATGTCTCGCTGGACAGCGGTAAGACAACGCACTTACAACAGTGAAATCCGGGGTTCGATTCCCGCGGGGAACACAGCAGATAGCCCAACGTGAATTTTCTCAAAAACAAACAGATATTTTCCGTATGTGCTTATGTTTCGTCTAAACCAGTTTAATCCATAATAATGAAAACACGAGTTTGTATTTAAAATAATAGTTCAGTTAAATTATAACTTTCGAACTATGTGTGTGTTTATATACTTGCAAACAGTAATTGTTACCCTTCCTGTCTTAAAGCAGTTATTTGGCTGATAACACCGTGACAGGTACTATGAAGAACATTTATTTTATTCCTTTTTTGTTTATTTTTAATGGGAAAATGTCAAGACACACAAAACAGCCCAACCTAGTCGTCACGCAAGTTGTTTTTATGAATTTAAGCTATGTGTTTGTTGTTGAGACAGCTTCGCAGGGGGCCCCAGAACTTCCAGGAATACAACAGTTAAATGTTGAACGAAACCGAAGTAAAGGAACAGCTAATAGAACATTTCTCGAATCTTAGATCAATAACAAATAAAGAGAACATCTTATATTAAACTTCAAATAAGAAATGAAAGCTAAAATATATAATGGTTACTCTGACACTCAGACCAATCTTCTTTCACTAACGAATGACGTAAATGTGATAGATATGATACACAAGTTATATTTTTGACAGGCGCAGTTTCAAGCGTCTGCAGGAGAAGGTTTCTTACCCATAGGAAAATAATATTGACAGTTTTCCAGTATAGTAACCGTGATAAATGAGATGGTGAAGTTGATTTATTCACAGTGTTTGCAAGAAGAACTGGCTACGACAGAGACTTGTGAAACAGGAGTTTAATAGCCCCCAAGAATTCTCAAATAAATAGACCTAGTGCACCCAGAATTTAAAATAGATGGGTTAAGTAGTTCATCAGACTCCCGAAAAGGGAGATTTAGTAGTCTCTCTTATTCTCAAATTAAAGAAGTTTAATAGCTCTCGAGAACCCCGAAATAAAGGGGTCTAGTTATTCCACGGAGTTTTTAATAAAGGAGTCTAGTTATTCCACAGAGTTTTTAATAAAGGGATATAGTTATTCCACAGAGTTGTTAATAAAGGAGGCTAGTTATTCCACAGAGTTTTTAATAAAGGCGTCTAGTTATTCCACAGAGTTTTTAATAAAGGAGTCTAGTTATTCCACAGAGTTGTTAATAAAGGGATCTAGTTATTCCACATAGTTCTTTTTAATAAAGGAGTCTAGTTATTCCACGGAGTTTTTAATAAAGGAGTCTAGTTATTCCACGGAGTTTTTAATAAAGGGATTTAGTTATTCCACAGAGTTTTTAATAAAGGAGTCTAGTTATTCCACAGAGTTGTTAATAAAGGGATCTAGTTATTCCACATAGTTCTTTTTAATAAAGGAGTCTAGTTATTCCACGGAGTTTTTAATAAAGGAGTCTAGTTATTCCACAGAGTTTTTAATAAAGGGATCTAGTTATTCCACAGAGTTTTTAATAAAGGAGTCTAGTTATTCCACAGAGTTTTTAGTAAAGGAGTCTAGTTATTCCACAGAGTTTTTAATAAAGGGATTTAGTTATTCCACAGAGTTTTTAATAAAGGAGTCTAGTTATTCCAAACAGTTTTTAATAAAGGGATTTAGTTATTACACGGAGTTTTTAATAAAGGGATCTAGTTATTCCACAGAGTTCTTTTAATAGTCTTCAAATTAAAGGAAATATCAAAATACAGATTTAGTGATTCTCTGGACTTTAGAAATAAAAGAGTTTGATAACCCCCCAGTTCCCCAAAATAAAGGATTTATCAGTCTCTTAGATGACCGAAATAAAGGGTTTAGTAATAATATCTCTAATCTGACATCACAGAAAACGTCGTCATATTGGGACATAAATGAAACATGAAAATGTGCAGTACTTTGAAAGTTATCACGTAAATTGTCAGCCGATTCTTAACTTGTAATAAAGTTTCCAGATTTCATTGCGTGTTTGGACGTTGAGCCCTTTAATCTATACAATATTGTTCAGAGATAAACGCACACACCATAAGTCTCAAAAATATTAGTGGTTTTCGTAATATCAAACGTTCAACATTTAAGTACGACGCTGTAAATTTTTGGTGAAGTTGATTCGCCAGGGATGACATCTAATTATCGCTACTGGTGTTACTTAAGAAGGAAACCATTTCATTTTGAAGATATAACAACATTAAAGACACGGAACACGTGTGCTGTGTGTGTTATATGCTTGGGAAAACTGTGCCTGCAGAGGATTAGAAGCTATCTTTATAACAGCTTACTTAAGGCCTCAGTTCTAGCACGATACTCTGATATCTATATCCACCCGCTTTGACCAGTAGCCTTTTTCTGTACAGCAAAAAAAAAATTCATTACTTCTATAATTAACCTAGATGTATTGACTTGGTTATTCAAGGGAAACGTGCGTAAAGCTCGCGTTTGCAAGCGTATTTACTGGCTTGTGACTTCTAGTTTAATTCAAGGTTGTAAAGAAGCGAAAATTGTTTGATTGCTTTTGAATTTCACGCAAAGTTACTCGAGGGTTATCTGTACTTGCCGTCCAGCTGGTCAACTCCACATACCACCAACTCTTGGGGCTACACTTTACCAACAAGTAGTGGGATTGACCTTCACATTATAATGCTCCCACGGCTGAAAGGGCGAGCATGTTTGGTAACGGGATTCAAACCCTCGACCAGTTAATTATATTTTCAAGACCTTTGCATTGTAACTACTTAACAAGGGAAACTCCGCGAATATAACGAAGGAAATGTATACTATACTAGTACTCCTGTATAATCGCATCACTTTGGTTTAGATAATATATAAAAATTATAATCTGCTTATAACTGGCAAACTCATGAACCGATTGTCACCAAACCTGGCACGTGCCCTTAAAGCACCCCGGGGAGTGGCGTAGAAGTATCAATGTTCGGATCTGACACCTCCATGTCACACCAGGGGTCCGTATGTTTTCCCCATGTGTTGAATGGTTAAGTCAGCTAGTGTATATATATATAATCACTCACTAATTAAATCCAATTAAGATATATGAATAAATGTGCATAAAACAAACATTAATATCTAACTAAAAATCAACTTTAACAACAATTGATAGCGATGATATTTGGCAAACAGTGAATCACTGAGGCCCTGTCTGTTCACCTCCTCGCACCTAACTATAAAACCTATCCATGTGTTAAGTAATTACAGCACTTCAATTTAGAAAATGTATAAGAATTATGTTACGTCTGCCAATTACGATTTTAGTTAGGGGGTGCAAGGGGGCCGTGAAACCTTATAACTGTAGAGAGTGTTTGTATAATAAGCCTAAAATAAAGACGTAGTGTGGGATCTCCTAGCCAAGAGCCAAGTGCATAAAATTTATCATGGAAATAAAAATATCGATTCAATTTTAAACTTAAATTGTTTCTGAATTAAGCTATTTTCTGTTATATCACCAACGTTTTTAATAATAAAAAACTCTTTAATCAATGGAGACTCTAAATTATGAAATCAACAAATATTTTTTCCAGTTTCGTTGTCTATACATTTCATTTTATACTTTCAGTACATAGACTAACAACAATATTAGGTTATACTTTTGTTGCTAACGTCTGACTGCTTCGACTGCACTTTTCTGCCTCTTTGTTAGTCAAGCTTGATTTTGCAAAATGTATTTATTTCAGTTAGCTATGAGATGTGAGGTTAGGGTATACTGTGGGGTGTGGAATAACTAGTAAAAGTAAAAAGCAACAATACGCGTCTTATTTGTTCTGTGACCGTTCTTTTATATACAATATAATCCAGTCGGATTAACGAGGGCACATTTTAACTTACATAGTAATTTATGGATTGTATTGTAAAATTGTTTAATACATTATCAGATAATTATCGTCTTCTTTGTTTGTTCATACTTTAAAATATAAACATGCCAAATTTTGCGAACATCCGCACTATGTTAAAGTGAAATAAATAATTTTTGTCCAATATTTACCATAGGACTTTCGGTTGGACTACTTCTTATGGCATAGCTGGAACGTATCAGAAAAATACTGTGATCAGTACAGATCTCTTCTCTGTAATCTTGGGCTGTGCACAACTCTGAAAAATAGCCCTATCGTCGTCTCCAAAAATCATCTGGATAACTTCTGGATACCTGACACCTATGCTACAAATGCCAAAAGTGTGTATACTCCATCGTATGCCTCGTCCACCAAAGTACTAAGAATAACTCTTAGAGATTCAGGAACATGCGAGATGGAATACACCATTAGGTATCCATACAGTTAACGTTTGTTTCATTAACATGAACTTTAAAGCTTCGGTTTTGTAAAACAGTGTACAATTTTGAAAATTTGAAAGACATAAGAATACTTGTTTCTCAAGCTAAGCCTCGTTTTTCTTTTCTTTTTTTTAAGGTCCAAACAATTTCCTTTGTAAAATCAAATAACTACGGATGAAAATTAATTTCACCCTCTTACTTTCCTAAAAATGTTGATAAGAAATAAATGTATTTTAGAATGTAACGAAAATTAGTTTATAATTAGAATAACCTTCATTTTTAGATTTGATTATTGATTATTGTTCTCAGGTTGGCTGCTGTTGTTGCGTGTCAAATGGAATTTAAGCAATACCCGGTAGACGTACAGACGTGTCCTTTTACAATGCGAAGCTGTAAGTATTTCTTTTTATTTCGTATTTATTATTTAACATTTTATTGTAATCCATATCAGCTTCTGAATTACCGCATTTTTTTCTTTTGATAAATATTACCAGCACGTTAATCTTGACGTAGTCGCTCGAACGTTTTTACAGATTAAATTCACGAATTACTAATATTTAAAGCATTTTCCCATGCAGATTTAATTATGGTAGGCGATATGCCCAAGATAATAAAGATTAGTGATTATATGTTTATACTTTTTGCGAGAATAAAATATGAGGCTGGTATAACTGATGGTTATTAAATGTTAAACGATTTATATTTGATTGTTTGTTGTGAAGAGCTAAGCTGCACAATGGGCTACCTGTGTTCTGCCAATCGCGGGTATCTAAACCCATCTTTTAACGATATAAGCCTCCAGACTTGCCACTGAGCCATCGGGAGGCGAGACGATTTACATTAATCATCTTGAAACGATTTTTGCCATACATCGTCAAATGATTAAGGATTTTTATTGCCTGTTTATTTTCCTTTGAAATCTTGAAATAATTTAGGCGTTTAAATTAAACAACTTTTCATTGGTTACATTAATCTTATTTTTACCATTCATTGTTGTCATGATATTAAATTGTTTAGTTTAGATATTATTGATTAATTTATTTTTTGTGAGTGAATATTTTATTATTGTTTAGTTTTAGTTATAATAAGAGTCAAAAGCAGAGGATTGTAGGAAGTTGTGTTTATAAATCATTGATCTTGAGACTATCGAAGGTCGTGTGCAACACACTGACGTCGAAAATATAGATGGCGGACAGACTATTAAGTGATAGACATATAAATAGTGTGAGACGAGTGGAAACAACATACAGACAATAGCAGAAGAAAGTAAAGTTACAGGCAAGGAATAGTTCGGCGTGAAGTTTACCATAGAAGTGATAGGCTTAAAGATTAACATAGGCCTAGCGTTTAATATGTTAGAGTAAGACTAACGGTGGAAAAGGAGATAACAATAATAATATATTTCGTCAAAGCATGGTTCTAAAGTAATTTAATCAGCCTGAGTACACTTTGACAAAACGAATAGAGGATATTTTGAAGAAAGAAGACCAAACAAATTACGGTAACTAGCGCCACGTTTGTAAGTGAATCACACACAGAGTACTAGTACGATAGTAATATAGAGAAGATAGTTCGACTTGTCAACTGAAATTCTAAACTAATTGAACAGGCCTAAGTGGACTTTTGACAAGAGGAAGAGAAATACATAAATAGTGTTAATGATATACCTATAATCTCTATAGTGTGAACACTTTATTGTACATACGTTTAACTTGTTCCGAATATATATATTATTTGAAAACAAGTAAAGTGTGTGCTGTTTATTCATCGTTGAATTTATCACTAACAAGTCACAGACACCTACTGTAGAAGAATCTTAAGCCTAACAACAACACAGTATATATTTTTACTATTAAGAGTTATAAGTAAAAGCCCTTTATTTTGACAGTTTGCGAAGAATATATATTTTAAATTCTGACAATCGTTTGTATAATTATTTTCATATAGTTTATTGTAATTTTAACTTATTAACCAGAAAGAAAAACAAACTTAGGTTATATTACAATAGTTTAAAAGTTGTAATTTTATCATTTTGGACACAAAAAAGCAGCAGAAATGTCACACGTATGAAAAAATTATCTGCTGTTTTAGCATAATAGGTAAGGAGCCGGGCGTGACCCACTGGTTAGTGTGCTAGACTGCGAATCCAAGGGTCCACGGCTCCCATCCTGTTTACCGTGATGGTCAACTTTCACTATTCCAATATAGTCCAAGAGTCAGTAGTTGGATGTGTTGACTATCTGTCTTCTCTGTAGTCTATAAGCTCAAAATGAGAAACAACTAATGTTTCTCGCGAAAGTGTTAAAGAAACACGTAATAAGTAAGATCATACAAAGATCTGTCTAGGTAAATGTAGAATGTAATCGTGCCTAATAAGAATTGATAATGGAAGAAGGTTTATCGTAATATAATCGTTATTGTTAACAGTATTAGTAAAAAAATGATTGGTAATTAAAAATGTTATTATAAGGCAGTGTTTTCCAAGCTGTAGGGCGCCCCCAACCGAGCCCAAAAATAACGATGGAAGACCACGAAAACTGTCACCTTTCTCTCGAAGTTTTTTTTCTCTCTCTCCCATCTACTCATTCCTTGCAATTTTTTTTAATTAAAAACACGTAAAGAAAATGTGATGGGGGGGGGGGCAGAACGGAAACTTTCTTGAGTTAGGGGGGCGCCGCTATTTAAAGTTTGAAAAACACTGTTGTAAGGTAAATATTATTGGTAAGAGTGTTACAAAGAAAAATGCTGGTAATAAAAGAAGGTTTATGGTCTGGACACACTCTATTAGATGCATATCCTTTCAATACGGTGCGTTACGAGTGGACGGACAGCAGGTCAGGGGTATTGAAGAACCAAGACCTAAAACTATTGCAGCATAACCTAGAATTGCGAAAACAGGAGAGTACAATTTGGACATTAGACGGTAAGCCTAGTGTGTAGATTAAAGTTGACATCTTTTTGATGTATTCGTTCTAACTGAGTACCGGTTCTTTTTGGAATTTCGAGTGGGATCCCGCTTCTTTATTATTGTTTTCTTAAGCTGGTACCGAGATCCGTTTGTATTTCATGACGGTTTATTTTGAATAGTGTACGAATCTCGTTAGCTTATAGAAAATTTGTTTCTCCTTATTCCGTGAGGCCAGGTCATGTCAAAGGTGAGTATTTGTTAGGGAGAAATTGATCGCAGTTTGTAAAGTTGTTTTAATTTAAAACTTATTTTTTTCTGCCATTAGCGAAGCAAAATAATATCTTAAGTTTTGAAACGATTAACCGACCACAGTGAAACGGGTTTAAAATACTAAATAAACTTGTATTTTACTTTTTTATTAATTAAAATAATACAAATTAATGTATAAAGCAAAAACAAAACTAAAAACAAACTTGGTAGCTTACCAGGAGAAGGAAAACAAATTATGTGATATAGTTAAATCCATTCCATGCCCAGAGAAAACATAGAAGTCGGTGGCACAAGCGGATTGGATCCTAGTCCATCTCAGGATAACTTCTGGATCCTGGTCAATCTCAGGTTAACTTCTGGATCCTGGTCAATCTCAGGTTAACTTCTGGGTCCTGGTCCATCTCAGGGTAACTTCTGGATCCTGGTTAATCTCAGGTTAACTTCTGGATCCTGGTCAATCTCAGGTTAACTTCTGGGTCCTGGTCCATCTCAGGGTAACTTCTG